ATCAACATGATTGAGGTAATGTATGCGGCTATGCTTGAGTATGAAGAAGTTCTATGAATTTGAGTTTACAGGTTCCTATACCATCCTGGTATGCTTGGCCGAACGGGAGCCCAGGTCTGCACGACAGAGGTGGTCTTTGGCAGCTAATCACTGCCAATTCTACGTGTGCAGTTACTTTGATTGCGAATAACCATGATAACGCCAATCTTCAGTACGATTCTTACCTAGGTAAGTGAATTTGCCTTGCAAAAATTCGTTGATTCAGCTCACAAGTATCACGAAAGAAATCACTCATTCATTAGGAGAAAATTGGACAGTTTCAGTGCCCACCATATTTTCACAGCTGGGTCGATAAACAGTCAAGGAAAAATACCTACTTTTGCTTTCCATAAATCCAACTTTAGGACAATGGCAGACTGCTGAAAGGGGCGGAGTTGGGACGGGGTAGGGGAGATTCCAGAGAAATGATCTTAAGAATCTTTCTAGATTGTTTCCGTCTTTTCTCACCGATAACACTCTGTTGCTGTTAATGCAGTACACAATTAAATATAACGCATGTCTTTTTATAGGATGCTAGATCCTTCAGGTTGGAAGGAAACCATGTTGGGATTGTATTTACATTATTTTCACCTTCTTGACTGATACTTATACACTTTTTTCCCATCTTTCATAGTCTCCTCGTAATACACACAGTACTTCGCTTTGATTGTTCCACAACAGTTCTACTTGAAATTCGTTGAAACCATGTCGAGCTCTAGGTCAATTTTGTGTTTCAAGACTTTATTCAGTTCTTCCAACAAACTGGGCAAAGGATGGTTACGTCTATGCGTTTACGCTTCCAAGAGAAAGTTATGTAGACCAAAGTCAGCAGATCACAATTATTCCTACGGAAAAAGACGTTAGAGGAGTACTGAACGATGGAGGTGGCTACTCAGTGATTTTCACAGTAAGTAGCCTTGAATCTGCAGAAGACGTACGATGAACTGGAGTTTAGGCAAAACTCGTTGGCCCAACTACTTATTACACGAAACTATATCCCGTAACGACGACTTATAACATAATAGCTGACGGTCCAATATTGGTGAGTTTTTTGTTGGAAACATGCAGAAAGCAGAAATAGGCGTGAATGCCATTTGAAGCGCTGACCATTCGGGCGCTATTCACCATATGTCCAGACCTGTATTAACCAATCGCAAGCAATGCGCATAGGCGGAGCTTGTGCTTCAGACGCGATGAAAATGTCACACACTCCTAGTCAATTGAGTGCTGAGAAATGGAAGTCTTTTTATATGGAACAAAATATGAGCTTATATGTCTACTTTCCAATAAAGGTAGTTTTCAACTTGAAAAAAGAGAAAACTTAACATACGAACACTCTATGGTTGATGATTGTTTATCGATGTTCAATGAAAAGGCGTCCTCTTTTCAAAGTGCTAAACCCAAATAAATTTATTTTTAAACGAAAATTTGTTCTCTTCTAGATTCTCGCAGGAGTTACTTGTGACGGAATGTACCAACCTTGCGATCACGCTGCATT